TATTCTAACTTCATTTGGAATATTCTCTGGGTTTGGTTGTCCAGGTTGCTGTGCATTCGCTAAGTTCTGTGCGTCCATTTAATATTAGATAAAAATATCTCTTACGAGTACATATGCTGAACATTTGCAGGCATTGGTTCATCTTCATATTCTCTATATCTTTCTGCCACGTCAAATAAATAAATGACACAATGGAAAAAACCTAAAACAAGTAGTCCTATTTCAAACCACATTTACTTACTAATAAAATTTCTTTATTGTGACACTTTCTCCAGTTTATAGGACCTCTCTCATATTCTATCTTGTCATATATAAACTCATAGTCATGTATGTCCTCTAACCATCTCATAACGGTTTCCAAACCACTTTTATCGGATGTGAAGTAAAAGCATGGATGGTTATGTATAACGTCTAAAGTTTCTAAAGAGTCTCTCAAAGTCCAGTCTACTTGGTATTGAAAATCCCATGTGTTATAGAACGGCGGGTCCACTATAAAGAAAACATTTTCCTTGTCTTTATATTTTTCATACAACTCTGTCCAATGACATCTCACAAACTCTATACCCTCAATATATTTTTCTATGTCCTCTTTGAAAACATTTGTATAGTTAAGATATAAAACTTTTGACATAAGTGTTTCAATGTCATGAACTCTTATAGCACCACTATATAATAGTCTAGCAGATATACTATCCCAGTCTATATATTCTGCTTTTTTCAAAACCTCTCTCACAATATTTTTGTTATCTAATGGTATACGTTCCATCTTACCTATAGGTATCTTTTCTTTTAACTCTTTCAATATATTGTTTGTGTCTGGAATATGTTTGAGACGCTCCATATAATTGTCGAGGTCATTGCATATAATCTTTGAGTCAGGAAATACGGTATGACATAAATGGGATATATAGAAACTTCCACCGAACAAATCTACAAATGTTAGACCATTCGGTAGTTTCTTAAGTTCTCTCAATATAATATCTTTACATCTACTCTTATTTCCAAAGAATAGTAACGGCGGTTTTGTAAAATTCATTTATATATAATAATAAAAATGTTTTCACCCGAAAAGTGACAGAAAAGTGACAAAACATGAAAACATATATAATTTGTGAAAAGTGACATAAAAAGTGATATTTTAAAAAGTGACACCATTAATATGATGTAAATAACAACGGTTTTGGTTTTGTCACCGGCTGGTCGGCTGGGGTTCGGTCCTCCTCTTGGGTCTTGGGCAAAATTTCTTATGGGCTAGAGGGCGCAACGCGCCTGGAAGCCCCACTTACCTGACCTGACCTCATTTACACTAAACCCATACATAATGAAATAAAAAAAATAAAAAAAATAAAAAAATAAACTTTAAAAATTCATGTCTTACATTTTTGAATAATTTATTTTTTAATTTGTATGAAAATGAGTGTCAAAACTAACAACGTTAAAAAATTGGGATTCACAAATGAGGAAATAAAGGATATATTAGAGGAAGCGGGTTATGAGGTTAGTAAATATTATTTAAAGAAATTGTCAAAAATTCGCCGGAGTTTTTAAATGAGTTTGATTATGATAGAAAAATGAATAAAGATGATGTTATAAATTTCTTATATCCCACATCTGAAGAAAAACCTAAAGAACCTGATGTTTTCCCTGAATATTATGAAGAACGGATTAAAGATGATGAATATGATGAAATTGAAAGACTGGAAAAAATAAGAGATGAAATAGATGAAAAAATTAAGGAATTAAGAGAAGTTGAAAAATATAATGAAAATGAAGTAGAGGGTTTAATGAATATCCCAGCTTCAGAATCAGCAGTTCAAAAATCTCATGAAGAAAGATATAAAAATTATGTCTCAGAATCAACACAAAATTATTAGATGGTGAAAATAGACGAAACACTTTCAGAAGAAGGTACTTAAATTTATTCATAAACATAAGTTACAATTTATTGACGATGGGATTATCCATGTATATTACTTTACCTCCTCTTGATTCTGAAAAAATTCAAAAAGCACTGAAAAATGTAACATATGCAACAAATACGATTAAGAAAGAAGACCATGATATTTACACAAATTATTATTTAAATAAATGCACAGGTGTTGATAAAGTTTTTGATTTGTTAGATAAAATATCAAAAGAAACAATTGGTACATATAATTTTATTTGCGATTGTGGTTTCATTATTGAAGATACCAATAATGTTTCATATGAAAGAACAGCACCGAAGGAAGATGAAGTTGAAAGGTCTATACCATTCATTATTAAGAACATAAAAGATATGAAAACGTATAAGCATTATATTTATTCATTTATTTCAGAAAAAATGGAAGCAACCCATAAAACATCATCTCATCATTTTATAGCTATTCATACATTCCTTTTCAAAGTTGTGAAATTAAATAAGACAGGAATTAGATTTAATGTATCAGGGTACGCATTCTTGAGTAAATTAAAATGTATTCGTCACGTCGCGGATGATAAAAATTTATGTGTTCTTAATTCATTTTATGGGCTTTAGCCCTGGACTTTAAAAAAATAAACTTTATTTTTATTTATTTTTTTAATTTTTATTCTTACATAAATGAACAAAAATGGAACAGCTAAAATGAATGATAATCAAATTAGAGCAGAAGGTAGAAGGTTATTTAAACGCTTCTATAACATTCCTGATGGTGTTAATCCTAAAACTCGTAGAAGCTATTTAAATGAAGCAATAGATGCATATGAAGGGTTTGACATTTTCATCAGAAAGTGAGAGGTTAGCAAGAATGTTAAACGTTAATATTGATTTTTATTATTGTGACCCTCAACCAGAAGACGTAGACATTAACAAGGTAGACTTTCCATTAGTGGAATCAATAATGATAGATCCAGAATTTGAAACAGTAAATATTTTATTAACACAGAGTCCATGTGGAAAACTTCACGCTGACAGAATAACAGACGTTGAAGCACTCACCGGCTATAAAGTTTGTCCATATTGCAAAGAAGAAGTTTATTCTATCCGTGATGATCCAGAAAGGAAAAACCAAAGAAGATTTTTAAAACATTGTGAGAAATGTAAAGAAAATAATGGAAGATTAATTCAAGACGTTCAATTGCAAAACACACAACAACCATATGCACCACATATCACGAAACAGAAGATATATCAATGGCTATTAGCACATAATTTGCAGGAATATTATAAACCAACAAGATATTATATTACTTTTGACTTCGAAACATTAGAGACTAAAGAAGAACTTCAACTTTCTGAATGTGCAACTTTGAACGCTTACTTAAAACCATTTATGGTATCATCAACTGTCAAAATAAAGCCGCAAAGCGGCGAGGTCGTAGACCGTGATAAAACATTTACGAGGAATTTTTGCTTAACTTCGAGTGATTCTTTTATTTCTGATTGGATTGAGTTTTTATTTTCAACCTGTTCATTAGTTGCTAAATCAAATATTGAACAATATGAAGAATTAATGAAGCCGCAAACGGACCAAACGGCGGGGACTTTGTCTCATACATTAAATGAGAAACAAAAGGAAGCAATGAAAGAGCTTTTAGATGAAGAATTTAATAAAGTGAATATCATAGGTTTTAATTCGGGAAAGTTTGATTTAAATTTAATTCTTCGTGATTTAAACACTGCAAAATGGAAAATAAAATCAATGCTGGGTTCATCTTCTCAATTTAAGCAAATCATTGTAAAGAAAACAAACTGTCCATATGAATTAGATTTATTGACATCAGAAATTATATAGCGGGTGGGACATTAGACCAATTCACTCAAGATTTCGGAAACAATAAATCACGTGTTAAATCCTTTTTCCCTTATCAATTCATCACGTGGGAAAATTACGAAGATGAATTATAAAAAGGAACCATTCACGAAAGATTCATTTTATTCAGCATTAACTCAAGAAACTATATCCGATAGATTATCAAATATATCTCAATGATGCTAAAAATTTTAGAATAGATTAGAATATTTTATTCATTATTGCAATAAAGACGTTGAAATTATGATTGACCCAATTGATAAAATTATTGAAGAAACATTTGTTTATAAAATTGACATGCTTCATAATCTTTCTTTATCATCGAATGCATCAATGATTCGTTACGCGTTAGCATATAAGAACTTCAATCCTAACGAAACATATCCAGAAGAAGAAAATGTGGAATCAAGTTTTGAATTAACGAAAAAGTATTGGAAATATAAAATTGAATCATATAAGAAACAAGATGAAAAAGCAGAAAGGGATACTAAAAACAATGTTTCAATGAATGACTATCAATACTATCACGATTTAATCCTTTCATCTAAATGCAAAATGTGTGGTAAAGCGTTTACATATGCTAATAAACCAACATTGGATAGAATCGATAATGAAAAACCACATACCAAAGAAAATTGTCAGTTAATGTGTTGTTATTGCAATGTCGTAAAATCAAATAAAGATGAAGATGTTCAACGTTTAAGAATCAATTTAAGAAATTATGCATTAAAAAATAATTTACCAATGACTTTAGATTCAGTTGAAGCTTATCACATTCTCCGTAATGGAATTACTGGTGGTCTATCAAATGTTCAACATCGTGTTAATCTTAAAGGAATCACGCACATTAATAAACTTTCATATAATCCAGAAACTAAAACTGTATCAAATGAGGACACCACCAACATTATGACTCATTTTGTTGGTGTTGATTTTAATTCATTATATCCTTCATCATTTTCATCTAATCCTCATGATTTCATTCAATATACTGACCATAAAATGTATATGCCGGGAAGATTGAATGGTGTTATCATTTGTGATACAGCAACAAAGAAAGCAAAAGCACTGGGAATAATTAGAAAGAAAAATACTTTATTCGTGGCTGAAGTAAAGGGTCACATTGATGAAAAATACATTAATGATTACATAAACTTTTTACCAATAATAAGAAACTTAGATATTATCACAGATGAAAAAACAATTGGCAGTTTTATGTATAATTACATGAAATCAAACAATCTACCAGTTGACCAGAAACAGAGGAAATTAACTCAGTTAGCATCAACACACAACCAATATCAACCATTTTCTTCTTATTATCTTTGGTATCTAATAGACAGATTTCATTTTATCATTGATGATATTCAATCAATTTTAACATTTACGAAAAACACTTGCTTTAATGAATTTGCGAACGAATTTATGAACGAAAGACAAAAGGCTGAATTAGAAGGAAATAAAGGAAAAAGTTTATTTTGCAAGATTTCACTTAATGGATCATATGGTTACGATGCAATGAATACACAAAATTACGCAAAGACTAAAATAATGAATGCACAGAAGGCACGCGTTGCATGTATGTCAAATAAGTTTAAAAACATAAGAGAAATAGGTGAAGATACGTATCAAGTGATGCTTAAAGATAGATTTTATAGATGTGATACATGTTTACAAGAGGCATTCTTCACTTTAGATAACGCAAAATACTGGTATTTGGTTTTCATTTATGATTTTATGTATAAATGCATGAATGTTAATCGTTTTCATTTCATTGAAGGTGATACTGATTCATCTTATTGGGCAATCGCTGGCGACCCAAATCTTCCTAACACTCAAGCATTTCAAGCAATTGTTACTGATAAACAATTTTATGATAAAAACATTTACAAATTCGCACCTTTTGATTTCTTTTGTTTTAATGAGAAATTTAAACCTAAATTAAAGAATAAAGCTGAAGAAAAAGCACATGAGAAGAAGTTATTGGGTTTAGCAATTGAGAAACAAGGTGATAACATGGTTGCTTTATGCCCTAAGTGTTATACATCATTCAACGGTTCAATTGATGGAAGTGATTTTAAAAAGATTGCACAAAAAATGAAAGGAGTTAGTTTACGACAAAATAAACAATTAACACCTAAAAATTATTTGGATATAATAAATGATAAAGTGATATTTGATGGTCAGAATATTAATTTACAACTTAAAAACGGGTCAATGACTCGCTTAACAATTGGTAAGACTGCATTAACAGGAGCACACACTAAGGCTGTATGTTGTGAAAATGGATGTTGTATGCCATTTATTTAATAAATGCCACAGAAGAGACAAAAGGAACCGTTAATGATGTTTTGATACTATGATTCAAAGAGGTGGGCACCCTTAAAACATTTATTTTATTTTTATATAAATGGATAACGCAGATTTAGAAAATTTAATTGATGATTTAGTACTTAATCAAAAAATTCTTAGTTATTATGAATTAAAATCATATCTCCAAAAATATAATAATATAACGGGTGATGATATGGATTATTATTATTATATTATAAAAATGAAATTTTGAAATATCATGATAGAATAATTTCTAAAATTAAAGACAAAATTAAAAATAATGAATATTCAAAGGGAAAAACTAAATCACAACTGAAACAATTGAAAGATTTTAAAAATAAAGTATTAACAGAAGAAGATATTGATGAATTATATAAATTATATAATCCTGAGCCGCAAAAGCAAAAGAAGCAAAAACAAAAGGTGCAAAACGCCCAGGTCCTTCAGACCATAAATGATGCACAAGCTTTAATTTATGATTCATTAGTTAAACCATATTCAGCCCGACTTTTAAATGAAGATCAACTTTTGGAATTCATCCTTCAACATAAACTCGAAGCGGGAAAGTATATTAAACCTTTATATACAGCATATTTAAAACAAATGAATAGAATACATCCAGAATTAATGAAGGAAGGAAGGAATTCCAAAACTTCATCATCCAAAATCAAAGCAGATAAAATTAAACCACTTGCAACACCAAAACCTCTAACGACAGTACCTGCAACACCAAAACCGCCTCCTCCTTCAGTTAATCCTTCATCATTCACTTTATTATATCCATTTCAAACATTAAAGAAACAAAAAGATTTTAAAAAGGATTTCAAGATATTAAATAAACCAATTGACCCAAAAATTCAACCGTTAAAGGAAAAATTTAGTCGCCCTTCATTTGCACCATATCCATATTCATATGAAATCGATCATTTAGAATATTCAAAAGGAAACGTTACTTATTTATTTACCATTAACATTAACACCAGATATTTATATTGCATTCCAGTGAAAGGGAAAACAGAACAGGAAACAAGAAGAGCTATTCAATACTTACTAGATCATGAAAGAGTAGATAATATAAGGGGTGATGGTGATAAAGGATTTCAGGCAGCTATGACTCATTATTTCCCACAAATTAATTTTTACTTTTCATCCTCTCCATATACGTTTCATAATAAAATAGTTGATGCGGTAATGAGAACTCTTAGAGATGCGTTAGGGGTTAACGGTCAGATATACTGGGATGGAAATCATGACTCCATCATACAGCAGTTAGTATATTATTACAATAATACATGGCATAGAACAATAAACATGAAACCAGTGGAAATGAAAAATGATATTTCAAAAGAATGGGAATATATTAGAAAGCAAATGGAAAGGTTGAATGATGTTAAACGTGAACAAATTAATTCGGGGCTCATGAATTTTAAACAAGGGGATAAAGTTTTGATTCATCTCGATTATGGAAAAACTGATAAATCAATGACAAAAAGAAGACGAAGATTTGACACAATAGCTGAATTTGTTAGATATATTAACGGCAATGCATTAGTTGAGTTAACAATAAATTAATAGAAATTCCGATTTATTTTATTACTCCATTATATTTAAATAATATTTAATTTTTTTATTTCGTAAGAAATGAGTGACAACGAAGCATCCAAGAGTCCAGACAATGAATATAAAAAGAAACTAAACAGAATTAAATCAAAAATATGCTATTACAAAAAGAAGCCACAATGCGGTGAGGTTGAAAACGATAAAGAGAGGAAAGAAATAATCGAAAAATTAGAAACTTACCGTTCAATCCTTAAACTGAGTGAAGCAAAAATAAAAGAATTTAATAGAATAAATAAATTGATTGGAAGAGATGAATTTAATAAAGATGAATTTTTAAACTCAATCCAAATTTAATTTTTATTCCTCTTCGACAACATCTCTCTTTCCATCATTACTGCATAACCACATTTTCTCAGTTTTAGTGGTTTGTTATTTTTAACATGTTCTTGCATCATTTTTATCATTTCCTCCCTTGTTATGATTCGTGGTAAATTTTGAGCTTGTGGGGTATTCATTTATGATAAAAATAAAAATTTGTTATCACTTATTTTATCGTTAATGTTTTTAGGTTATTCAATAATTAATTATTTTTGAATAACTGGGAAATAAATTTACGTCAAATATGCAATTTATAAAATCTTATGTCGACAGGCTACGTAGCACAGTGGTCTAAGGTGGTGTTATGGAGGGGTTAGGGTCTGTGGTTCGAACCGCGACGGCGCCGTATTTTCTTATTTTCTTTGTTTGTCTTGTTTGTCGTGAATAAAAAGTATCATAAAAGTGCTCTATCTTCCACGGGAATAAATAAAAAATTTACTTTATTTCTTCTTTATTTCTTCTTTATTTCTTTATTCCCGTGGAAGAAGGGTTTTGCTGTTTTTCTCAGCCGAAATCAATGATTTTTTCATTTTTGATCATTTACGCTCATTACGAAGAAATCATGACAAAGAATATACGATGAAGAAATCATGACAAATCATTTACGCTCATGTTTGACAAAGAATATACATTCATTACGATGAAGAAGTCATGACAAAGCATAAACGATGAATGATCATGACAAAACATTAACGTAAACATTTATTTCCTATGTTGTTGTCAAAATGTCATGTTGTCACATTTTTTCAGAGAAGTTAAATTACCTGGTGACCACCTGGTGACCCGGTGACCTCATCAGTTATTCAAAAATAAATAATTATTGAATAACCTGAAAACATTAACATTAACATAAACATTAACATAAACATTAACGTAAACATTAACGATAAAATATATTTCTGCAGTTCATCCATTACTTCATTACCTAATTAATTACAGACATAAAATATATTTAGTTCATTCAATAAATGCGGTACCATGCGAATACAGTCATAAATGGTGGCATGTAATCTTTACTTTGTCCCGTTGTTTGTGTATATCCTGAAACGCGATGTGTATGGTTTCCTTCTCCCTGAGTGTCACTCCAGTAACAATTTATGGCAAACTTAACGTTGTCTTTAACATCATATCCTTTACCTTTTGTCATTCCTGACCAATCCCAATATCTATGCTTATGCCAACCCGCTTGAGATGTACTTAAATCTATGTAGTGACTGTGTGCAGGTAAATTTTCACCTGTAATCGTTTTACTTCCCCCTGTTTCCTTTGAAGAGTTTGCACAATACAAAAACCTGTCGACTATTTGTTCCCATGCACCAACACCAAACATTGCTTGAGGACCTCTCACATCCATAGATGTATAAATAGAACCTACTGGGTTCATTAAATCAAACATATGAGATAATATAGGATTGTCTCTTTTGAACTTAAAATATAGTGTAACTATTTCGGGTTTCTTCTGGTTTGTGTCAGAATATTTTTTATAATATAATCTTATGTTTTCAGGGTATGTAAAATCTTGACTATAATATTTATTTTTGTCATCTATATAATAATATACTATTCTCGTTTTTTCTATTGCATTATATCTTTTATATCTATAATAATCTAAATATAATGTTTGCTTTTTTGGGTCTACACGTGCGTCAACACCATAGTCATAATAATATGGTGCTGGAGCTACGTTAGACAATGTCATATCCGTCATTTCATAAACTCTTAAATATTTCTTTTGTTCGTCTCCATATAAGTTTAAGTAACAGTTGTTGTCTAATGGAACTTTAACTTGTGTGTCATCATTCTTTTTATAACTTACATACATTTCATTGTTATTTTTCGGAATGAGTTTATACCGTATACCATTTTTTAAGGAATGTACCAATTGCCCTCTAAAATATTTATTTTCTTCATAGACGGAAAAGTCACCAGCAATAGTTTCAATATTTTTAGTTGTTCCTATCAAACTTTGGTATATTTCATTCACATATTCTTTATTTGCTTTCTTCTCTAACTCATCGTTAACATAAGTTTTATCTGCTTTAAGGTCTAAACATTCTGAAACCCATCCTGTATCAGCTTTAGTTTTTAAAATCTTCGATGTCCGTTCATGGTACCATTCAACCCTTTCGATAATTTCATTATCTTTTTCATTAACATATTCCTTATCTGCCTTCTTCATTAACTCACTATCCACAAGTCCCTTATCTGCCTTCTTCATTAATGCACTAGCCACAAGTCCCTTATCTGCCTTCTTCATTAACTCACTATCCACATATTCCTTATCTACCTTCTTCATTATGTCATTTAGGAAACCTTCTATGAATTCCTCATTTAAATTAAATCTTCCAATCTTCAAAACTTTAGGAAATGCATTTAATGCGTAATATCTTTGTTCTTCTGGTGGAATTGATGTTATATCATCCGTTATTCCTTTAATTTTTGAATTCATAAATAAAATTTCTTTTATATTTGATATCACTGCACCACCTTTGCAAACGAATTCGAAATGGTCATTTTTCAATACTATCTCCAAATCTCCATATTTCAACATTTGCGTTTGTTCTGCCGTCTTTGAATTATATGCATATATGGCGTATGTAATGGTCTGTGCCTTAAGTTGTTGTGGTTGCTGTTGTTTAATCATTTATTATGATTTAAAAATAAATATTTAATCCGTTATCTCATCAGCTATTTTTTCTATTTGAAATTGCCATAATATTTCATTCATAAATTCTAAATCACAATCAAATAGGTCAGTTATTCTAAATTTAATATTTGATAAATCTTTTGAATGAAGAATAAATGAATTCCCGGATAATTGAAACGGATATGATAAAGAAAATATGTTTAAGTTGATGGATAAAATGTTTTGTATTGATGGGTAAGAGTTAGGGTCTAATGTTTGATGTGAAAATCTCATTGGGGTATTAACTTTATCACATTTGATTAAAATGAAATTGGAACCAGTGTCAGAATACAAAACATCCCCAACATCTTTTTCAAAATTTAATATCCCCAACAATGAACGAAGATGAGGAGTACAAAATTTAATTTTCAGCGGAATTTAATAAGGTTATTTATTTCATCAAGTTCAAAAAGTTTATCAGGTTTTGATTTAAAATTTTCTTCATACCAAACGATAAATGATTCATTTAAATAACTTAAAATTGTGTTAATATCCCATTTCGTTATCACATTATTTATATACATATCATACGTTTTTTCAAGGTCATCTTTAATAAATGATATATAATCTGAAGGGTCTAAAAGAATGGGATTAAATTTACCACTCACAGAAACGAGAGTAACATTATAAATTCCACTAACTGTTAAATTTAATTCACAACTATTATTCGAAATAATATTGATAATTGACATTTTTATTACGATTAAAAATATGGTAAAGCGTTATTTTCCAGTGATAAATAAAACTAGAATAAGATTACCTCAAGAATTCATAAATTCAACGAATAAGAAATTCATTCATGTTATAAATTTTAGTGTTTTCAGAAAATATGAGTCAATGTCATATTCATCATCGGGTTATATTTCACTTCATTCAAATTTAGTTCAATCAAACCCATATAATGACCATTTCATAAGATTTTCAGATGGTATTAAAAATGTAATTGATAGATTAAAATATGAACAGATTGACAATATCGAATTTTTGGAATTTTGGTTTAAATATCCTGATGGAAAAAAGATTGAAGTTAAAGATAAAGCTGATACTATAACAAAAACAATTACAATGACCGATCCGGATAGTGGGGAACAAAAAGAAATAAAACAAACGATAGAAACTGGTGAAAGGTCAATTATTATTGATTATGATTCAAAGGATTATTATTCAATAATGTTAATGCTTGAATATTAAATAGCCTTAACAAAGAATTTTTCAAGTGATATTTTATATTCATCAACTATTTTATTATAAATATCATTATATGTTAAATGAAGTTCAGTTGTTGTTCCGTTCTTTGATATCTTAATTGTGCTAATATCCTTTATAGGATTTATTTTTGCAACTGTTCCGCAGCATGAAACCTCATCATCTATGAAAAATTGAATCTTAACGTCTGAATCTTGAACATCACAAAGAATGGCGATAATGTGAATTAATGATTCATAAGGTAAAATAATTAAACCGGATTGATCAATTAAATTTATTATTGAATCATAATTATCAGTTATTATATCACGGTAAATTTTCATTAATTCAGAATTAATGTCTATTTTATATGGCGCATTGCGACTGGAATCGTATATTCCTGGGTTCTCGATGTTTGATGAAAGAGGTGGGGGTATGTTGGATATGTGGGATTTCAACGGGTTCTTTACCGGGTTCAGATAAAATGATTGGGTCTCCATTCTCATGGTTTTCTTCATTCTCCTCATTCTTCGGTAAGTCACGAGTTAATAAATTTGGTTGAGTTGCTGACCTTGTTAATTCAGGGCTAACATTAACTTTAACATTTTGAATAATTCGTGATTTATCATCATTTACGTTATAACCAACCGTAATCTCTGCTTTTGCGTTAGTGTTCTTTTGACTTGTGAAACGTCTTCTCATTTATAATTGAATAAAAAAAGAAAAATATATATTTAAAGTTTTATTTAGTTGTTACGGTAATATCCCAAGGTTCATCATTGTTTGCTTATACTTTCTTTGTAACTGCACCAATAATGTTATTGATATTGCTTTGAGTTTCTTCCAGTCTTATTTCATCATTTACAATATCTTTAATCATTTCATTACATGCATTCTTAAAACCATCTGATTTTTCTAATTTACGTCTATCACTTTCTTTAATTAAATCAAAGTTATAACCTTGTTGAGAATAAAGTGGTTTCTTTATCAATTCCTTGAACGCTTCTGCAAGTGAAGATGAAGAAATTCTTGCCACTTGAATTGGTTTAAATTCTGCTTTCATTGCTTCTTTCTGTTCATTGAACACTGGATCGAATAAAGCAACTTTAAAGAATTTCTTAGCTGGAATTTCAGGTCTCAAATTTGCATATTGACCATCAAACTGATTAACATATTGTGGTAATCCATCCGGTCCTTCTTCAATAGCGTTTAATTCTTCATTGAAATATGAATATGGATTATGACGGTATGAATTAATTGGGCCATGTTCACCTTCTCCAATGTATTGTTTAACAGCTTTTCCATTTTCATCAAATTGCATAGGATAACATTCATTATATGCTTTACGTTTAGGATAATCAGATACAGTTAATTTGTAACCATTTATGACTTTAATATTACCTCGACCATCAGTAACGAAAACTTCATTTATACCATCAGGTTTTCCATTTGGACCTGTAATGTCTGCTTCATGTGCTTCCCAATTTGGACCTTGACGTTTGGCATATGCTTGAGCTTCTGGTAATGTTAAAACGTTTCTCATTTGTTTTACATCTTTTTGAAGACCAGCAACAATATGAACTAATTCTTTCATTCCGTCTGGAACTTTCATAGTTCTATTATACACACCCCCTTTTTGTTTGTCCCCTGTTTTAATGGAACCTGTAAAAGATTTGCTATTTCTGTCATGTTTAATTATAAATAAAAAATAAAAATTAATTATAAAAAGTTAATCAAATTTAACACATCCTTTATTTAAATCAACTATTATTTTTCCATGTTCACCTAATTGTTGATATTGTGTGTAAAGTTCATTAATGCTCATTGGTAAATTCACTTGATAAAGCATAACGTTCAACTGTTGACGACTAAAACCACTGAAAATGAAAAGTGTTGATAGATTTGATTTAATGTTTGTGCTTAATGCTTTGAAGTATTGAACAGCCATGAAGAATGAACACTGAATGTGTCGACATTGAGTTAATAACTGATTAAAATATGATTTCTCATTTGTTATTAGTTTTGATTTCACCGCATCATCTAGAAAAATGAGTGAATGCAAAAATTCTCTATCAAAATTTGAAATAGAAAGTGTTTCAAATAATTCATCCCGTTGTTTATCAATAATTTTATCCTCTAATCCTTGCTTCTTGATTGTATTATATAATTCTTTATACATTAAAAAGTTTTTTAAATAATCTTCTGCTTCTTCTTGTGATAAATAAATAATTGGAATTTTGATTAAATGCTTTAAAGATTCAAATGTATCATCTGAAGGTGAACCTGAACGGTTGATATAAATTAACACATGTGAATGGGGGGAAGTGTTAGCAATAATGATAATTTGTTTTAATATCGTTAATGTTTTACCTTTATTTTGTTTACCAATTGCTGCAGTGATTGAATTTAAGTAACATTCAGAATATGGAATTTTCATTAATTTTTCCTTAGATAGAGCATTTCTATTATCACTCAATGCTTCATTAATCATATCATCTACGTATGTATTATATACTCCCGCTAATTCTTCAGAATTTAAATCCATTTAATCAAAAATAAATTTATAATTTTATACATTTCTATTCATCAATATTTCATCATATGAACTTCTATACTGTGGTGGTGTACCTGTTGGATGATATTTCAAACCTTCATCCGGTGTCCATGTCCAATACGTAGTCCTAGTAAACCAAACCTGAGGAGGATTTGTCACCTTTGAACAGTAAGTGTCATTTACACCCTGAATGATTGGATAAGCTTTCACTTGTACTGTAACTTGTGAGTTGAAAGTTTCTAATCCATCAAAGAATATACCCGCTCCATCACGTTGAACTGGAATAGTGCATAAGAATGAAGTTTGGTCTTTCCATGTTCTAGCTAATGGCGTGCCATTATCATCATTCAGTGGTCTAGTTAATGAGTCCTCGTATTCTTCCGTGCATTCATTCACTCCATCTAAATCAGAAGCTTGAAGCATACGTGTAAAGAATATGTCACCCACTGTGGTCATCGCTTGATCGGGGAAGTTTCTGGAATCTATAGTGACCTGAAGACCTCGAAGCATTGGATTTTCTAAAACCGTTCTTTGCATTGCATTCTTCGGAAATGCTAACACAACATCTGTAACATTATGAAGAGCGTATGAGAAATCTGAACTGATACCTTCAGGAGTGATGCAACCTCCATTTAGTGAACGAACGTCAATATGTTGAGCTGGAATCATGAATGGATCTTCCTTACTGAATAAACGTGGTATTGCTTTAACTGATTCTTCAATTAAACCGTATCCTGGTGTAATGCATTTATCCTCTAAAACTTCCATCTTTGTGCATGAAATAATAACGTCATCAACTGTTGCGTCAGCAGATGTAGCGGCTAAGCTTGTAATTAATTTGGCAGGAAGTCCGATTTGTTGGAATTTGCGATCATATTTATAAACATGATTCATAATCTTTTCATAATTTTCATCAGTTATCTTTTCATAAACGTAATTTTGTAAATCAGCAACTCTTAACGGGTCAACCTGACAAAATACTAAAGTATCCCTGAAAACATAATATTTAAGAATGATTTCACCAAATGATTTAGGATAATCATCGAACGCCTGAAATGCTAACAAATCATTTACCGGAATAATCATATCAAAAGTGATATCAACTTCTTCATTTGCTTTCTTGAAAACTTCTGAAGGGTCAATATATTTACCACATACTGAGTTATCATATTTTTGAACATTATTATATAACGAATGAACAAACTTTTTAACTTTCCTTTCTGATTTTGGTTTATATGTTGCAAATGCGAAAGATTCACGGGCGCAATCCATCTGAAGATAACCGGCATCACCTCTTTCGGTTTCTACTTCTAATTGTTTAAAGCTTTGATTTGATGATTTGTAACCAACGAATAAACGCATACATTTAAAAGCGGCATCACATGTGAAAGCTTTATTTGAAACTAGAGTTGCTTTAACTTTGCGTTTAATATATGTGTCACCTAATTGGTTCACATCATGAGCCGGATTTGTAATTCTTAAATGAGTTTGTTTATCATCAAAATATGGAGCATCAGAGTCATAGCATGAACTTTCAAGTTCTCTATAATATCTTCTTCCGTCATTCTTTGCAATATTTCATTTATCTTTTCGAATGAATGAAACACATTTCCATTAATTGGTTTAGTGTTTGGCACCAAATAGTTAGTCGTCATTTATTATTAAATAAAAAATCAAAATTAAAATATGAAAATGAATTTTTAATTTTAATGAAATAATCAACTATGGCTGCAGGATTCTTTAAGAAACTGTGGGATAAAGTAAAAAGAGGAGCGCATAAAGTTTGGGAAACAATGAAGAAAGGAGCGAATTGGATATTTAAGAATAAAGAAGCAATTAGTGACGTTGCTGAATCAATAACACCAAAAGCTGCCCCAATAAGAGAAATTTTAAATAAAGGAGAAAAAGTTTATCAAAGACTACAACCAATACTAAGATAAAAATAATATTTATTTATTTTTCCACTATTTACCCCCTATTTTATTAAGTATTCCTTCAGCAATTCCACCAATTGCGTTACCTGCTTGTGCTCCCATCGCCGGATTACCTGCTTTAGTACCTAATACTCCACCTATGATAGTTCCTGCCGTTTTCGCTACTGGTGCCAAAAAGTTTGCAACAGGTTTAATAACCTTTTTATAAACCCAACCTGCAGCTTTCTTAATTCCATCCCATAATTTTTTAAAGAATCCTGCCGCCATTTCTGATTTAATATTAATTAAAAAATATATTTCATCACTTATATTCTAATTTTTATTTAATGATAAATGAAACCAATTTTAAAAATAAATGAAACAGAGGAGGAAGAAATAAATGAAAGTGAAAATGTTCAACAAAAAATAAACGTTGTTAAACCAATTACTGAAATAAAATTTTTTTCATCTGTTGATGAATTTAATGACTATTATGCTAATAATAAAAAATTATTTGAAGAATTGACAACATGTAAATTGAATAAAATGTTTAAAGTTGATGGATTCAAAATTTCAAAAATAAAAGGAGTGGTTAGTTTGAAATCTATTCCTCAATCAAGAATCACCTCATTAATGAAAATTGATGATTTAACAAAAAGAATAGAAATTATTGAAGAGCGAATAAATCAAATTATTGATTTCATAAATCATGACTCGTTGAGCCCGGGTCCTTAAAGCTCATCACTGAGTTCAAGGTTATATTCATCAAATATTTCATTATTAAATGCAACTTCTGCTAGTTTTTATTTTTTCAATACGATCATTTGAAAGTCTATCGTTTAATTTTTTCTGAAGTTTTTCATTTTCTAGTTCTGAAACTTTATTTGGATGATATTTAAACCCGTTAAATTCTTTTTCCTCAGTTTTGATCATTAATTTACAAAGAACTTTTGTGGTTGGAATTTGTTTAAACCATTTATCATTAATATTTGTTATATATTCAATATCTGGAATTAATTCCCAAATTTTTGCATTTTCAATTAATTTATTATCAAATGCAAAAGCAATAAGTTTAATATTAAACTTACCTTTATAATATAAACTTTCTACATAATCATCGAAATAAACATCTACTTGTTTAACATTTTCAAGAATTGGTGAAAGAGCATCCATTAATTGATTGACGGTTACGAATCTTGATCCACTCATTTTCATACAAATTAAAAAATAAATTATTCAAAAATGTAAGACATGAATTTTTAAAGTTTATTTTTTTATTTTTTTTATTTTTTTTATTTCATTATGTATGGGTTTAGTGTAAATGTCTTACAATTTTGAAAATTTTTTAAATCTTGATTTATTCAAAAACGTAAGAATAAAAACCGTAAGAATCATACATTTTTTACTTCATATGTTAAAAAAAATGATACAAAATCACTCGATATTGTATGAATTCTTACGTTTACAAAAAAAGTCACAAAACCCGCATTATATACTACTTATATTTATATATGTATATATTTATATATGTATATATTTATATATGTATATATTTATATATGTATATATTTATATATGTATATATTTATATATGTATATATTTATATATGTATATATTTATATATGTATATATTTATATATGTATATATTTATATATGTATATATTTATATATGTATATATTTATATATGTATATATTTATATATGTATATATTTATATATGTATATATTTATATATGTATATATTTATATATGTATATATTTATATATGTATATATTTATATATGTATATATTTATATATGTATATATTTATATATGTATATATATTTATATATGTATATATTTATATATGTATATATATTTATATATGTATATATTTATATATGTATATATTTATATATGTATATATTTATATATGTATATATTTATATATGTATATATTTATATATGTATATATATTTATATATGTATATATTTATATATGTATATATTTATATATGTATATATTTATATATGTATATATTTATATATGTATATATTTATATATGTATATATTTATATATGTATATATTTATATATGTATATATTTATATATGTATATATTTATATATGTATATATTTATATATGTATATATTTATTATGTATTATTTATATATGTATATATTTATATATGTATATATTTATATATGTATATATTTATATATGTATATATTTATATATGTATATATTTATATATGTATATATTTATATATGTATATATTTATATATGTATATTTATATATGTATATATTTTATATGTATATATTTATATATGTAATATATTTATATATGTATATATTTATATATGTATATATTTATATATGTATATATTTATATATGTATATATTTATATATGTATATATTTATATATGAATAAATAATACATCAAACTAGTTTTAGAGTTGATAGTAAGAAGCGAAGAACAGTACCAGTAAGATACAGCAGTAGTAGCTGCTTCATGCTGCATTGAGTATTGTTGAATAATTTGAAGTAGTGGTTTTTGAAATCAGCACCCCTATGAGAGCGCTGGCGACCGAAACACCACTAGTAAGATTGTGTATTAGAAACTGCTTCATGCTGTGTTGAGTAAGCTTCGATATCTTTATCAGACCACCTTTAAATTAACCACTCACATTCTCACTGTGGTCCATCTAAAATTTGTAAACTTTATGACATAAAATTATATTATATGCAGGATCCCACCTATTACTTAATCTTTTTGGAATAAATGTTTTATAATATTTATCGATTGATTGTAATTTTTTGTATAAAAAAAGTTTTTTATTTATATTAAAAATATATTCGGTTAATGATATTATCTTATAATTTGTAAATAAATCTAGTAATAAAATAACTTTAATAGTTGGTGTCACTTTTTCGAAAATTCTGGTTTTTTCTAGAATTTCTTAGAAAACTGTTAACATTTGGTTCAATTTCAATTAAATAAGAATCTTCATTTCTAAACAGGCCAATTCCAGTAGATATACTCAAGTTATCGAGAATTTGCTGATCTACAATAAGAATATCTGTCATTCCAATCTTTGTCGATACATTATAGTGAATTAATTTTGCTTTTTCATAATTTTCTTCAGAAACAAGTAATGCGTATGGAGATTCGCCTAAATTATCGTAAAGCTCTTCCGATGTAGATATTTTTTCTAATTTTGATTCAATAAAAATTTGAACTAATTTTATAAATGAACTTTCTTGTTCTGGATATTCAAATATAGCTATGTTTCGTCCATTATCAAACAGTAATACAATTGGTAAATTCAAATTTAATTCTTTTGATATTTTTAATGTAAATTCCTCTGAAATCTGGACAAAATCGCATTGATCAAAGTATGCATCATGTAATATTCGATATGTTGTTGGAATAATCTTTACAGCTCGGTGTTTGGAGTTCATTCCGATTGCAATTACTTTATTTCTTGAAGAAACAAAGCTATTGAACTGAGATTCATCAAATATATAATTGAAAGCATCATAGTCGTCTGCAAACGGGACAAAAGCACTTTCAATTATTCCTACAAACAAGAAAAGAAACATATAAAAAATTTTAGAAAAAAGAGGGGCTAGAATTAGATGAAAATCATTAATGAGATGCAAAATTTTTTATGAATATTGATCGTTCAAACTAAATTAAAATGATATTCTGCTTTGAATAAAGGAACACATAACAATGAATAGCATAAAGTGAAGGCAAATCAAATTTATAATATTGAATGAAAAATTTTTGTTGAGAAAATTTTCAACTGAAATGATCGCGTAAATTCAATGAAGGGAAATATGAGTAGTGTGAAGATAATAATCAAAACGTGCTTTTGATAGGTATCAAAGAAATAAATTTTTCAAAAATATACATTTTATTTAAAACAACAAATAAGTGGAAAATTTTATTTCATAGAATCTGATTTGAATGATATTCAATTTTGATCGACCATCATTATGAAAGTCGGTAGTTCATCTGCTATCACCAAATATAAATATATAATCATATCGTTGTAGAGTATTTTTTATGATCGTCTCTCAAATTTTTCAGATAATTACTCATTTCTACAAAATGGGATGCGCAGAGTCTATGAGCGATACTCCAATAAAGCCATCTGCTGATATTCGAAAGGGTGTTCAGAACCATTATAGCTCTGACACTTATAGAATTAAAGATGCAACAGGAATTAAGCTAAATTTCGAATCTGGCAAAATTGGCGGAAGGGCTTTTGAAGCTATCAACCTCTCTAGCTGTGCTGTTTATATAAGTGATATAGTAGATAGAATAACGATAACCAATTGCACTCACTGCACCTTTGCCTTGGCAACAATTCGGAATACAATTCAAGTCATCGACTGCGATGACTGCCAATTTACAGCTGTATGCAGCCAGTTTAGAATAAGGGACTCTAAAAACTGTGATGTGTTCCTCCACACAAAGCAGAAAAGCATTATCGAAAAGTCAACATCAATTACATTTGGCTGCGGAAACTATTCTTACAGAAATATTATTGAGCAAATGGAAATGGTTCACCTTGATCCTTATATTAATATGTTCCATCAAGTCAGTGATATCACTCCAGGATTATCCAAATACCAAGTTAAGGAAGGCGAGAAATCATCAATTCCATCATTAGATGGATCATGTTTACTTCCGTTCTTCTACCCACCAACAGATAATTTTGATTCTGTTGATTTTAACGAAGGAGATTGGGAAAAATTAACGCGAAATTCCTTAGAAGATGGAATTCAACTGTACAACATCCGCAAATCCGGCAGAATTATTACTGCCAGATATCGAGAAAATGCCAAGCCACAGAGTAGTACAATTTCTGCACAATCTTAATTTTTTATTTGTTTTGATCTAAACTGTTTGTTATTCTTTTCCGGTGATATATTTTCATATTATTTTTTATAACAGTTTCTAGATATCAAATATTTTTCTATTTTCGCGTTGGGAAATCATTTAACTAGTATCATGCTATTGATTTTATAAGGAGATCAAGTTAAATAGCCTATTTGTCAAAAAGATTTCTGACAATGGCAGATTGTGACCATTCGGAAGTAATATGATTTACGTAGCTTATGGATTATATAGAAAACATTTTTAAATTTAGAATTGAAATTTATTGATCAAAACAAAGATCTAATCAAAACGGATAGCGAAACATTAATAGAATACACAAGTGCAATGTCGTTCAATCGTTAAAAATATTCAATTTCGAGTAATTGCTTTGAAGTTTTACTGAATTCATCATGTTTGGGCATTTTTCTTTTACGATTTGTTATCAAATTATTTTTGAATGTCATTTATGCCATTTCCACAAATTTTCTTTCCCAATATCGAAATAACGTGTTTTGAAAATTCAGATGATAGACGGGAGATTAGGGCGTGCAACATCCCGTCTTTTAACGAACGAACAAAATATTTTAAAGGAAAAAGAGCTTGCCAAGAAGCTTGGCAAAATTCCACCTGAAGAAAGTGTGAAAATTCCTCAAATTGGCGAATGGAGTCTTTCACTTAGCAAAACTGCTACAACTTCAACAAAACAATTACCATCTCCACTATAAAATCACCAAAACAATCAAAATCAAAAACAGGCGAGCAATTTATCGGTCCAGTTTATCAACACGAATTCATGTTCCTAAATCTAGGAATGCTGCTGGCCAAATCAATCCTATCGAGCGCGTCAGTTTCCCAGCAGGAACAACTACAACAGATTTAAATGATATTCTGAAATCAAGAACAATTAATCCAATTAAACCAATTCCTCCGCTCAATCAGGAAGAAAATCTACAAGAACCACAGTTCGTACCATCCGATATTTTCGATGATTCTACATATGAAGAATTCCCTTTGGAAGAATTAATGAAAAATCCAATCGGCTTTTCGAGATATCAGGACTTAGATGGTCACATTTACTGGTCGAAATGCAAAGTAATCGAGTACAACCAAGAGAAACACTTGTTCTTGATCGAATGGACCTCAACTGGAAGAAGAAAATACGTTTCAAGGTTCAATTTGCGTTTTGAGCGCGAAAACCAGGATCTTTTCAACAAAAGAGTGGCTGCAGCTAAAAGAGGAGCTGCTTTATACGAGGCTTCTGTGAGATATCAAGTTAGAATCGATACAATGCCAAGAACGAACCTTCCTGAGCTTTCTTCCAGAGAACATCCAGTCAATATATGATAAAATCAATCTACCAAACGACTTCAAACGCGGTGAAGAAATAAAACAAAGATTAATTAAAGAAATCTGCGAAGAATTCAAGACAGTGAACAACGAACTTGAATTCGAACACGAGCTGGAGTTCAACCAGCTTATCCCCAATCGTGAAGAGTTCTTTGCTGTTCTAAGTCAAAAACCGAAACCTCCGAAAATGGAATTGATCTTTAACAATCATACTGAGTACAAAGAGAACCAGAAGAGGCTGAACGAGTTCCTTTTATTCGCTTATCCTGTTTTTCAGCGCGCAATTTACCAAATTTGGGCAATTTTCGACCATTCTTCGAATTACAGACTTCTCACAAAAGGTTTCGATATTAACATTACAGGAATATATCTCCAAGCAATATACAAATCTTTCATCAGTTTCTTCAAATCTCAAAACATCTATCCAAAATACGTTAGAAAATGCAGTTTCTACAACATTTGGTGAGAAATTAACACCAAAGGAACGCGATGTCCGACCAATTGGCTACTTTGGCCACAAGAATGCTTCATACAGTTTTATACATTATTATCAACGAATCAATGAACGAATTCATGGGATCATTCGAGAAATACCAAACAGATAAAAACGCCGAACCACAAATTACTGTCAAACTTGCATTTTCTGAAGATAAATTAATAACTGTCGATCCAACATTGGATGTATCGAGAGAACAGATACTAGGATTGACTTCCCAGCTCGAGTCATCAGCCCAGGACATGCTGAGAATCAAATCTTCATTGTTTGAGGTAGATACGACATCTGTCTCATTCCAGGACATAAACGAACTTATTCAAAACAGAATTGAGCCATTTACAAATATTATTGACTCGTTATTTTCACAAACCAAGCGTTTTATTACAGACCATGAGTTTTTAGCTCCTGTATTAGGTCTAGATCCAAACGAGTACGCCATATCGTTCGATCCAAGTGGTAAGAAGACCCTTGACGAGTACAGACATCAACTTGGAGAGTTTACAAAAGTATTAAATTCAATTCAAGAAATGCAAGAGTTCTACAACATCAATTTCTTCAAGATCATGTGTACGGACTTCAAACAGAACTCAATTGTCCATTGCCAGAACCTCATTTACAACTTTTTGAGCCACATAAACAAATTCGTCCTTAAAGACTTGGATTCATTGAACAACGACTTCAATGAGATCACCGTTGAACTCAAGAAGATCCCAGAGACCCAGAAAGCTTAGCAGAAATGAAGAAATACATGGTCAAAATTTATGATACGGTACAGAACCGTACAGACCTTATTAATACGATTAATAACAGGTTTACATTCCTTGAAGAGTTCCAATTCGACATTTCCAACGAAGAAATCGAGTATTGGTACAAAATCCGACAAATGCCAGTCAAAATTTCGACTTTACTCGATGAAACAGAGCGAATCCTGTCTATTGAACGTATCAAGATGATCAGAGAGCTCAAGGTTAACCAGAAGAAGCTAGAAGACGAAGCATTCGATCTTTCGGAGAAAGTTATGATGTTTGCACAGAAATACAACGATTTAGAGATGACTGTTGAAGCTGTTGACCAAGTAAACGAGATGCAGAAGTGTATGGAAGAGATGCAGGCCGAACAGGACACTTACAACAGGCATGAAAAGTTGTTTAGTTTCGAACAAGGATCAAACAAAGTTTTGGTTAAGTTACAAAGCGAATTTACACCATTACATACTTTGTGGAACTTAGCCAACGACTGGCAAACAACACGCGCACTGTGGTTGGACACTTCTTTCACACAGATAAAGCCAGAGCCAATGAACCAATTCATTATTCAAGCGACCAAAAAATTGAATAAATTGAAAAAAGAATTGGCCGACCAACATTTCTTAGTTGACAGGGTATTGAATCCTTTGAGTCAACAAATTGATGAATTCAAGAAACACGTACCATTAATTATGAAATTACGACATCCTGGCATCAAAACAAAACATTGGGAAGAAATTTCGAAAGTTGTTGGTTTCAATGCAGCTCCTGACTTAGAATTAACACTCCAGGGATTCTTGGATTTGCATTTCGAACAGTGGATGGAACAAGTAACACAAATAGCAAATGTTGCTGCGCAAGAATACACTCTGGAAACATCTTTGGATCAAATGGATGCTGATTTACAAACAAAGAAATTTGTTACTTCTGAATTCAGAAATTCCGGTCAATTTATTCTCAATGAAATTGATGATATCACTTCTACTATTGATGACCAATTAGTCACAACGCAAACTATCCTTGCATCTCCTTTCATTGAGCCTGTAAAGAAGAGAGCACAGGAAAGACTCAGTTTTCTTCATTTGTCAGAAAAAATCATTATGAAATGGATTTCTTGTCAAAAGAACTGGTTGTATTTACAGCCAATTTTCACAGGAACATCCATACAACAGAAGCTGGCAAAAGAAGCAAGATTGAACGGAACACATAATCATCCTGAATTCCAAACAGTTATGACAAGGGATGGATTATTCGACCAATTAAATCAATGCAACAATTTATTGGACCAAATCAATATCGGATTGAACAAATACTTGGAAGCAAAGAGAATGGGATTCCCCAGATTCTTCTTCTTGAGTAATGACGAACTGATAACTATATTAAGTCATTCGAAAGAAATTGGAAAAGTTCAAGAAAGTTTGTCTAAATTGTTTGAATACGTAAATACTGTGACAATGGATGGTGATGACATTGTATCAATGAATGACAGTGAAGGAGAGAAAGTCAAATTGTTTAATCCTGTACAATTCGATACTCCTGAAATAGAAGATTGGCTAAATAACTTTGAAGCAGAAATGAAACATTCTTTGAATCAATATATCGAACAAGCGAATATGGCTATAAAGAAACAATCAAAAGAAGAATGGATAACATCATTCCCTGCACAAGTTATTTTGATAACAAACCAAATAAACTGGAGATTACAAGTAACACAAGTTTTGTCCGGCCAAAAACTTCAAGCAATGAAAGTTTTGTTGCAAAAATATTTGGAACAGTTAGAAACATTGACGGGATTAGTGAGAAAACCAATAGATAGATTGACAAGACAGGTTTTGTCTTGTTTGTTGATCTTGGAAGTACATAACCGTGAGATCATCAAAGATTTCGTTCATAAAGAAGTTGTTGATATCGAATCATTTAAATGGCTCCAACAATTGAGATATTATTGGGAAGATTCAACAGTAATTGTTCGCTCAATTAACAATGTTTTCGAGTATTCTTATGAATACGCGGGTAATTCAACACGATTAGTCATTACTCCTTTGACTGATAGATGCTACCAAACATTGTTATGCGCGTTCAGAATGAATCTTAGCGGTGCTCCAAGCGGTCCAGCAGGTACAGGAAAAACAGAAACAGTTAGAGATTGCGCGAAAGCACTTGGAAGATCTTGCGTCGTTTACAATTGTTCTGAAGAAGTTACTCCTGAACAAATGTCACAGTTCTTCGCAGGTCTTTCTAGTTCAGGATCGTGGTCTTGCTTCGATGAATTCAACCGTATTAACATCGAAGTTCTTTCTGTTATTGCACAACAAGTCAGAACAATTCAAAATGCAATTGCTGAAAATGCACAAACATTTCAATTGGATAAAAGATCGTTGAAATTGAATCCTAATGCAGCAATTTGCATCACAATGAACCCTGGTTACGCAGGAAGAACTGAGCTACCAGATAACTTGAAAGCATTGTTCAGACCATGCGCAATGATGGTCCCTGATTTCATTTTCATTTCAGAAATTTTGCTTTTCTCCGGCGGTTTTACAACCGCTTCTTCATTGGCTGTCAAATTAGTTGCATTGTTTGATTTGTGCAGGAAACAGTTATCAAACAGCCACCACTACGATTGGGGCTTGAGAGCCATGAAAGCCATTCTTTCAACAGCAGGAAAAGCAAAGAGAAATGACTTGGAAGCAAACGAATCATTACTTTTAGTCAGAACAATAAGAGATTGCACACTTCCGAAATTGATTTCTGATGATATTCCTTTATTCAATGGCATATTAAGTGATGTATTCCCGAATGTTGAATACAACAAACCATCGAATGATGACTTCTTGAATTCCTTGAAGGAGTCAATCAAACAAATCCAAGAACAGCCATTGGATATAACTATCGCAAAAGCTACTGAGTTATACGAAACAACATTGGTCAGACACGGAATTATGTTGGTCGGTGGCGCGATGGGCGGAAAATCAACAGCATGGAAATCTCTTTCTTTAGCTTTGACTGATCTTTCAAAGACAAACAACAGTTTGTACAAGCCAATACAAGTGGAATCCCTCAATCCAAAGGCAATCTCTATTGCAGAACTCTACGGTTCCTTCAATCCTGTAACAAGTGAATGGGCTGACGGCGTTTTGTCAAAAATCATCAGAGAAATGTCATTTTCTGAACAAACCGTTGGCAAATGGATTATCGTTGATGGTCCTGTCGATTCCTTGTGGATTGAGTCAATGAACTCATTGTTGGATGATAACAAAGTCCTTTGCCTTCCGAATAACGAGCGTATCCAGTTATCGCCACATGTCAAAATGATGTTCGAAGTTGACAATTTGGATGAAGCATCTCCTGCAACTGTTTCTCGTTGCGGAATGGTCTATTTCGATCCAAGTGTTTTGAGTTGGACAGCATTGGCTGATTCATGGAGAGACTCACTACTCGAAAAACAAGCAACAGTTGCTAATTACGTGAGAGAACTCATGAATTCATGGTTACCAAATTGTCTACAATTCATTACAAATGATGCTCTCAAAAATTAGCGTGCCTCAGATTCAAATTATATGAGTAACATTTTGCAAAAGGGACTTAAGGGTGCACACGAGAGGATCATGTAAACTTCAGAATTTAGAACCTTATTTTTAGGCATTATCTTGGCTACCTATTTAGGCTCGAAAAGCAAAAAATATCAAAAAATACAACTTGACTCCATTATGACCCTTTCATGGAGGTAGTTTTTATCCGCTAGTATTTTCCCTTTGAATCTCTTTACAATTCGAAATCAAATTCAAATCTCAGTAGAAGAAAGGAAGAATCGACTTACTACGGTTGTAATACGAATAAATACATATATTTAATTATTTTTATTTACATAATAATTGTTTGAAGCTCATATTCCATCAAATTTTTAAATAAAAACATTAAAATGTTGAAAATGTTCATATATTTTAATAGGGTTTTGGCACTTTATTGAGGAATTACTACATACATAGTCGAACTGAACTTGATATTTTGAAATTTAAATTATTTATCAAAATTAAAATTTAACTTGACATTTATAATTATTTAGTCATATTTTGCATAATTCTAAGTAGATTTTGTAAAAAATCAAGAAAGAAAAATTTTAACGTGCTTTATTTTTTCTTTTTTATAATAATACATATTATTATATAATTAACATATTCATAATGTTTCACCCTTTCAAAAATATAATCCTCCTCCTCTCAATAAACGTACATACGGGTGGCCTCTTTTTTCAAAAAATTAAAATTTGAAATTTTGGGCTCAAATATTAGAGATTTTTTCAACCTTCAACGATATATGTTGTCTATATCAGACCTCCTTTCTTTTTGATACTTAACATTGTTCCTAAATCTTAGCCGTTAAGGCTGTTCTGAAAATATTTTTTTTTCGAAAAAATTCGAAAAAAATTCTTAAAATTCAAAAATCCCTTAATTCCTGAGGATTTTGGAAAAAAGTTTTTACATGAACATGTGTATATTATATGAAGTATATTGATAAGGTAAAAATCAAATTTTATTGCATATTCATCGAGAAAATAAACTAACGAATCCCTCAAAATTGAGAGGGTAATCCTCCTCCTCTCAAATAAACGTACATACGGGTGCACCCTCAAATCATATCCAATACACATGCATAATCAAAGGCATGACATTATACAAGAAAAATTCATTATGAAACCATGAGATAGACATAATATTTTTACGATTTACATTCGAAGGAAACCAATTCAATTGAATGGACCTATATGAATTCATAGTCGATTATTTCTCTCACAAAACATTTTTACTTCATTTTTAGATAAATCATGGATATTCCTCAGCTAGGATATGGAACATTCTTGGCAACAGATCCTACAAAACTCAAGGCAGCACTTCATTACGCAATCGAAGAATGTGGTGTCCGAAATCTTGATTGTGCCTGGGGATACAACAATCAAGATGTTATTGGTGATACATTGAAAGAGATCTTTGATAAAGGTAAAATCAAACGCGAAGATATTTTCATTACTTCTAAGCTTTGGTGTACTCATCACAGACCAGATCTAGTCGAATATGAACTCAAAGAGACATTACAACAGTTACAGCTCGATTATATTGATCTATGGTTGATGCATATGCCAATTGCTCTCCAATCAAGAACAGATCGAGAATATTTTCCAAAAGATTCCAATGGAAAAGTTATTTATGAACAGATAGATATACTTGACACATATAAAGCGATGGAAGAATGCATGAAGAAAGGAATGACACGTCATATTGGTGTTTCTAACTTCTCAATCGAACAACTTGAACGTGTTTGGTTCAACTGTGATATCAAACCATATGCAAATCAAGTCGAATGCCATGTTTACAAACAACATCATCCACTTATTGATTATTGTGAGAGTCACAACATCTTTTTGATGGCACACACAACTATTGGACATCCACCTCTTAAAGGATATCGCGGTTGCACATTAATTGAAGATCCAGATGTTGTTAGTATTGCAAACAAAATCGGAAAAACACCAGCACAAGTTTGTATCAAATTCTTAATCCAAATGAGTCCTAAAGTTATTGCAATTCCTATGTCATTAAATCCAACAAACATCAAACTTAATTACGACATGAATTTCATTCTGAATGACTCACAAATGTCTAAACTCAAGTCTCTTGATAGATTTTATGCTTTTAAGTATTATCCAGACGTTTTTGGTGTTGATGTTCTTGGTTATGGATTCAATGTTTGGGCTTAATCTTATTTTTTTTTTCTTTATTGTTTTCTTGTTAGATAAACCAATCCAATCTGTCTTATTGTCATTAAAATTGCTTTTTGAGTGTTTAGAGAAACAAGATTTGGGAAAATTTTTAATTAAAAGAAGTTCAAATGAAAATGGAGTTTCTAAAAAAAAAAAAAAAAAAAAAAAAAGGTAGTGGGGCTTCCAGGCGCGTTGCGCCCTCTAGCCCTGAAGATGTTTAGTATAAATGAAGTTTTTATTCGGAGGGCTTCCAGGCGCGTTGCGCCCTCTAGCCCCGAAGATGTTTAGTATAAATGAAGTTTTTATTCGGAAAATTGTTAGTCTTCTGGGTCGAAAACATTATATAATGTTTCACTTTTCACAAATTATATATGTTTTCATGTTTTGTCACTTTTCTGTCACTTTTCGGGTAAAAACATTTTTATTATTATATATAAATGAATTTTACAAAACCTCCGTTACCGTTCTTTGGAAATAAGAGTAAATGTAAAGATATTCTATTGAGAGAACTTAAGAAACTACCGAATGGTCTAACATTTGTAGATTTGTTCGGTGGAAGTTTCTATATATCCCATTTGTGCCATACAATATTCCCAGACTCAAAGATTATATGCAATGACTTCGACAACTATATGGACCGTCTCAAACATATACCAGACACAAACAATATATTGAAAGAGTTAAAAGAAAAGATACCTATAGGTAAGATGGAACGTATACCATTAGATAAGAAAAATATTGTGAGAGAGGTTTTGAAAAAAGCAGAATATATAGACTGGGATAGTATATCTGCTAGACTATTATATAGTGGTTCTATAAGAGTTCATGACATTGAAACACTTATGTCAAAAGTTTTATATCTTAACTATACAAATGTTTTCAAAGAGGACATAGAAAAATATATTGAGGGTATAGAGTTTGTGAGATGTCATTGGACAGATTTGTATGAAAAATATAAAGACAAGGAAAATGTTTTCTTTATAGTGGACCCGCCGTTCTATAACACATGGGATTTTCAATACCAAGTAGACTGGACTTTGAGAGACTCTTTAGAAACTTTAGACGTTTTACATAACCATCCATGCTTTTACTTTACATCCGATAAAAGTGGTTTGGAAACCGTTATGAGATGGTTAGAGGACATACATGACTATGAGTTTATATATGACAAGATAGAATATGAGAGAGGTCCTATAAACCGGAGAAAGTGTCACAATAAAGAAATTTTATTAGTAAGTAAATGTGGTTTGAAATAGGACTACTTGTTTTAGGTTTTTTCCATTGTGTCATTTATTTCTTTGACGTGGCAGAAAAGTACAGAGAATATGAAGATGAACCAATGCCTGCAAATGTTCAGTATATGTACTCGTAAGAGATATTTTTATCTAATATTAAATGGACGCACAGAACTTAGCGAATGCACAGCAACCTGGACAACCAAACCCAGAGAATATTCCAAATGAAGTTAGAATACAAACTGCAATGGCAAACTATGGTCAAGTGCCAACAGATGTACAAATGCAAACTGCCATGTCAAATGACGCTGCGTTAGGTTTGCCACCATGGTATGCAAATATGAGATGGAAAGAGTTTTATACAAACCCTGAAGTGGGATATAAACAACTTTATGCAGATGACGCGAACACAGGAGTTGACCCAGAATATGTTTTCTACCAGAGGAGAAACAGAATGTATGAGCTCCAGTTAAAGAATGCTATGGAACTCAACAGGAAACGTAAGAGACTAGGCGGACATTAGATTTTTACATATAGTAAAATGGGTTTCTTCAGTAAGATAGGAAACTTCTTTCGAAATGTTGGAAGAGGTATATGGAATGGAATAAAAACCGTAGGAAGAGGAATTTGGAACGGAGTCAAAAATATTGGTAAAAGAGTAGGTCAGTTCGTTGGTATTATACCTAAAGACCCTGAACCAGAAGAACAAGCTCCTGTTATACAACAGCCTGAACCTGCACCACAGTCTAGTTGGCAACCAAATCCAACACCTCAACCGTATTAAAAAATTATATTTTTACCGTTCGATAGTAGTTGTATATGAAACTAAGTTCTAAGTAAAACACATGGTATAATGGAATTATTCTTTTTCTTCCATCTGTAGTAAACCATACTTGAAAGTCTGAAATACTTCCACTTGGTGGTTCGTATAACTTTGTAGGTTTTTCGTAAAAGTCATTTGCCAAGCATAAGAAAGAGTTTTGGGCGCCAGAAAATGAAGCATGAACAATAATAGCATCTTGGTCGAAAACATCTTTAAATAAATATGGTTCATCTCTTGCATATCGACTGTAAATATTTGCTAAAGGAAGTTCGACTTTCTGATTTAACATTCTTTGCAAATAATACCATGACATTGCAGTGAATTCTGTATATATTTGTTCGTCTTTATTTGGATTGTTTTCGTAGATTTGAAATGACACTTGTGAATTTTGTTTGTCATATACAATTCTCACATAAAGTGTGCTCTCGGTATTTGCATATTCATCAGCATATTTTGCATAACATGAATTTATTTTATCTTCTATATTTTTTAACGCAGTCTGTAGAGAAGATGAAAGGTCAACTTGTATTAGTTCAATTTCTTCCCACATTTTTCGTTTCCCTTCAGATATATAATCTATATGAAACCTTACAATAAATGGAAAACTTTTATCTTCTACAGACACAAACTTCATTCTACGAAAGCCAATAGCTTTTGTGACAGATGGGTCTCTTAACCATCTTAATGGGTAGTCAAAACGATAGCCTTCATGCTTTACGGTATCTGTCTCAAACTTTTGACCGACATTAGTAAAAAGTTCATCTAATGGTTTAGTTGTAGCAACTCTTGAATTTTCTTTTTCTATTGGAAGCATATTTTATCTAGAATAAAAATGTCGAAAGATATTGCTTCCATGAGAGAAATACAACACAACCGACAACTCATTATGCAAGCTCTAAATAAGAACACAACAAACTTTTCAAACTACTCTAAGATATCTGAGTCATTGAAAGAAGGAAACTTAAAACTGACATTAAACCCAATGACAGATGAGTTTCTATTTCAAGACAAGAAGAACAATACTGTCTGTATAAATCCAACAAAAGGAACTTTAAACGAGAAACCTATAAATGAACTTCTTTTGAAAACAGATGTTGACAACAAAGCTGACAAAGAATATGTAGACGATGCAATAGCAAAAGAAGAAGAAAGAGCTAACAATGCTTATGCAACAAAAGAACATACTCATCCTGAACTAGCAGACAAAACATATGTTGACAATAAAATGTCAAGTGAAGTGACAAGAGCTGAAAACGAATATTCTAAAAAGACTCATACACATTCTATATCTGAAATAACAGACTTACAAGAAACCTTAAACAGTAAAAGTGCCGTTGGACATACACATACCATTGCAAATATTACAAACTTACAAGAAACCTTAAACAGGAAAAGTGCCGTTGGACATACACATACATCTTCTGAAATAACAGACTTAAACGTTAGCCTTGAAAAGAAAGCAGATAAAACATATGTCAACGGAATATACCAAAGTTTGATAGGAACAACAAAAAATATTGAAACTATTGTTGGGGATGTTTCTATCTATGAAGAAAATAAATATTTTAGATGGGAGTTTGTACATTCCTTAAAAAATGGTACACGGTGTAAACTCATTCCGAAAAATAACAATGAAATGTATGTAAGCTATATAAAGAATGATGGTACACAAGTTAAAGTTCCATTAGACAACAACTGCTACTTAAACTTATATGGAGACGAACAAAAGAAATATTTCCGAGTTTATGAAATGGCAGATATGACATTGCCTGACCCAGCTCCAGCACCATATTATTATGACTATGTAGATGACGAAGGAACACTACATGCAGATGAACAAAAGCAAACATTATATTTAGATTATTATAGATATAAAAGATATAATGCAATAGAAAAAACGAGAATAGTATATTATTATATAGATGACAGAAATAAATATTATAGTCAAGATTTTACCTACCCTGAAAACATAAGATTATATTATAAAAAATATTCTGACACAAACCAGAAGAAACCTGAAATAGTTGCACTATATTTTAAGTTCAAAAGAGACAATCCTATAATGTCTCATATGTTTGATTTAATGAACCCAGTAGGTTCTATTTATACATCTATGGAAGCAAGAGGTCCTCAAGTAATGTTTGGTGTTGGTGCATGGGAACAAATAGTCGACAGGTTTTTGTATTGTGCAAACTCTTCAAAGGAAACAGGTGGAAGTAAAACGATTTCAGGTGAAAATTTACCTGCACATAGTCACTACATAGATTTAAGTACATCTCAAGCAGGTTGGCATAAGCATAGATATTGGGATTGGTCAGCAATGACAAAAGGTAAAGGATATGATGTTGAAGATAACGTTAAGTTTGCTATAAATTGTTACTGGGATGACACTCAGGGAGAAGGAAACCATACACATCGCGTTTCAGGATATACGCAAACAACGGGACAAAGTAAAGAATACATGCCACCTTACATGACAGTTTACGCATGGTATAGAATTGCTTAGTCGTCATTTTCAACTTCTTTAGCATATTCGTCAGGAGTTGTCTTATATTTGTTAGGAACTGTCTTTGAAAGTATACCACCTTGAACTTTGACAAGTTTGAAACGAGGTCTGACAATAGTAGTTTTATCTTCTGCTTGCAGTGTGTACATTTTGCCATGTTTGCCTAAAACTTCATAATATTCTCTTGTATACTTTCTTCTATTTTTACGAACACGAATGTGAGTACCTGTCGGGTTCCCATTGTTGTCATAGTCAATAGTATTTTCATATGGGTCGCGTTTAGGTATTTCTATTTTTACTTTGTCACCTTTCTGAAGTTTGAAGCCCGGCATTCTTTCTTGTTTGTCTCTTTTGACTAAATTATTAAATATATAGTCTTTCTCTAAGTCAGGGTTGTTTTTCATTTCTTCGGGGGAGTGGTTTCCCAAACCTT